TTGGATGTTGTATTATAACTGATTTTGATATGGAAAGAGTGATTAGGCCAGGTGCAAAAAGGTGATATTTACAGTTTTCGGAACATCTCTTGACTTGTCCATAGGGGTATGGATGTGTATTGGCTAAATTTGTAAGATACTGGGGAGCAATCTTTCTGAATGTTGGATATATGTTTGGACTAGTACTGTACTTTACACACACAAAATATTTGACAAAAAGATTCGGTGCATTTTGTTTTTAATGAAACAAAACGTTATAAAGAACTAAAAATAAATAGAGAATTTAATTGTGGTCTGTGGCCCACTGACAATTCGGTGTGTTTGTTTTTTTATTTATACTGTAAAAAGATGCACTCGATTAAAATCCATTGATTCGCTTCAACAAGTTTTCTTTTGCTTTCATGTCTTTATCGGTGCATTATTTTTCCGTGAAAAAAAGATGACGTTTCCGCAAAAAAAAAGTCTACGTTTCCGCAAATAAATACCTTACTTTTCCGAGAAAATAGTAACGATTCCGGAAAAAATAAATTATTACTTTTTCGAGATAATAATTAAGGAGTACCTTGAACTTTGTCCTAAATGAAACCTGCAACAACTGATTATAGCATCATGAAATTTTTGAAACAGCAGTATGCATTGCACATTCAAAGTCAATATGATCTACCTCGGGCTGGAGAGTTAGTCTTCGGGTAGTGCACACATCAATAAGCAGATCCCACATTTTGATAAAAAGTGGAAGTAACGCAAACACAAGAGGAATATAGTTACCATTTTACACCCATGTATCGAATATTTAACTGTGCCATCTATGAAAATATCAGTTATTTCATTACATATACGATTATAGACATTTCAAGTTGGTGAAACATAAAAATATAACGATTCCGACATCATCATCTTTCACTAAGGTGAAACTTTTATTTTCTTTTATATCTAGTATATTGTAGATATACGATCAGAACCTTTTTTGTATAAAATATGAAATAAATAATGTATCTAACATATATTCAAATATTAATAATTTACTACCAGGTAAATTTCCGGAAAAGTAATAAATACAATTTCTGGAAACGTATACTTTAAGTTTCCGGAAACGTAGTATTGGAACTTTGAAAAATTAGCGGAAATGCAATACGCCCGTCTTTATGCTTAAATTATTTGTCAGTATGAAATATTTGATGTGTTCATTGATTAATGTGTATATTTCTTGTTGTTTTGGAGAAGACATTACTAAGTTGTAAAACTTGTGTCTGATCCATTTGTCATTTTGAACAATAAAATATGTTTAAACTATAACACATTTTTTAATACTCAGTAGACAAAATAAGCGCTTAATACTTATTCAAATTAAAAATTGTTGTTTTCATATATATATATATATATATGTGTGTGCAACGTATGGTTCAATGAAAATGGCATCAAACAATTCATTTCCCATTATTGACCCGTGTTCTATTAAACTCAAGTCATATCTATTTTGCTATTCCCACTTACAAAAGTACATATAAATGATTTATACATTTATTTATCAATAACCCCATGCATTATTATAGTCGCATTGGTAATATTACTTGGAGTAAAGGAACCCCACAATATGCTTTTATAAAGGTATCAGAAGTCCAAACAAATTATCAGTTTATGAGGTATTCAATAACATCATGTTATGACAATTTATCGGAGATAGAGTCAAGAAAAGGACTTTGGGAACGCAGAGCCAAACATTAACATAGAAAGGTTGGCAAATTAAATACACTTGTTTTAGCTCACAACGATTTAGAACTTGACATCATACAACACCTCTTTAGTTTGGCCAAATTGAAGATGAGAAGCACTTTCTTTCTAATTGTTGTTTTACACTTATATCAGACATGCCAAAGCCAGTCTTTTAAATTTTACAGTTGATTATTTTTGCAATATTGAAAAAAACAGTTATCTTATGTGTAATGAGAATATGGTAGATGTTGTCACTCTCTCACAGTCTCTTTTATCTTGTTCCCTTTATTCTATGTTTATATCTATATCATTAACGGGAAGCTTAATACAAAAAATTATGATAAAAGAGATGATTTTTCATTTCCTATCGTTAATTATCCATTTTTAGATGGTGCATTCCCTTGTCACCATCTTATGGTGTTTATATGTCTCAACTTGTACGATTCGCTCGTGTATGTAACAACGTATTAGATTTTAGCGAGAGAAATTTATGTATTACTGAAAAATTATTACACCAGGGTTTTCGATATCATAAACTAGTCAAAACATTTACTAAATTTTATCATCGGTATAAGGACATCATTCGTAAATATAACTCAACATGCAGACATCTTATACGTTCGGGTATTTCACATCCAATCTTTTATGGTAATATTCTTTACAAAACACAAAAATGTCAGTATTCACCTCAAAAGCTAACAAAACCTTTAAACAGACTTATTAAGAAGGGATATAGTTACGATACTGTTGTCAGGTCATTAAAGATTGCATATTTTGGCTTTAATATTGATTCACTTATAGGGTCTTTGCATCGGAATTAAACATATTTATTCTAAAACCAGTTGTTGGCATGACACGGGTTATGTTCTTCTCATATATTTTATGATGGTATAATACTAAACCCCTAACAGGAGGGATTGTGCCTGATATTCATATGATGAAGACATAATCTTTCAATCAGTTTAATTGAGGTCTGGAGCTGGCATGTCAGTAACTGCTAGTAGTCTGTTGTTATTTATGTATTATTGTCATTTTGTTTATTTTCTTTTGTTTCCTATTCTGACATCGGACTCGGACTTCTCTTGAACTGAGTTTTACTATGCGTACTGTTGTACGTTTGTTTTTTCTACATTGGCTAGAGGTATAGGGGGAGGGTTGAGATGTCAAAAAACATGTTTAACCCCGCCGCATTTTTGCGCCTGTCCCAAGTCAGGAGCGTCTGGCCTTTGTTAGTCTTGTATCATTTTTAATTTTAGTTTCTTGTGTATAATTTGGAGTTTAGTATGACGTCCATTATCACTGAACTAGTATACATATTTGTTTAGGGGCCAGCTGAAGGACGCCTCCGGGTGCGGGAGTTTCTCGCTGCATTGAAGACCCATTGGTGGCCTTCGGCTGTTGTCTGCTCTATGGTCGGGTTGTTGTCTCTTTGACACATTCCCCATTTCCATTCTCAATTTTATTTACCGAAGAAATCTAGAAGTATTTGTTTATGTAAAAAAAGTTTCTTTTTATGTATGTTTATTTCAAGTCTGTTTTAATGATAGTGTCTCATAAGCCGTTTTCGGATGGCATCCTTTCACTTAATATATGTTAGGTTTTTATGAAATTGTGTTAATATAGATGTTATAATGGATGGTAACTCTTAAGTAAAATAAATTTATTTTTTTATTTTATTTTGTATTTATGTCATTTGTTGAAGACCGTATGAGGACATCTATATTTCTTTTGGTTGTTTTGTTGTCGCGTTGCTCTCTCATTGGCTCATCCCCCACATTTTTGTATTCGAAATAAAATTAGTAACAGTTCAAGCACCTGCATAAAGATTAGTTTTACTACCTTTTGACGGCTTATTTCTTAATATTGTCACAGTCCTTCTTTGTTCAACTTTATCTTATACAAATAAAGGAAGTTAAACAAGCACACACACATTAAAAAATTCAACGAAGTTAGTAAGATTATTTATAAAACCTTTCAGCAGGATAAATGGTGAGTCGAGAACAATCGATAGATAATTTTTTGAACGAAAATGATAGTAAAGTCAATGGTTAGTTTACCTCGATATTAATGCTGCAAGGAAAAACATCGATACCACAGTGATGCTTTGTTTTTTGTTTGTTTTTTTTAACTATGCTATTTGAAATACATATTCAAATGCAAATTTTGTTTTCGTTATTTATATAGGAAATAGCATTAAAAAAATTTGTGGTACCGATATTTCAAAGATATTTAATATCAGTATTTGCAAGATCTTACAACTCCTAAATTGTACTGTAAATGTTTGTATCGTATACATATTTATGAAGTTTTTCCCGCGGTCCATGTCAAAGTTTTTAGATTTTTTGTTACCCAAATATCTGTCAAAACGTGTAGTTAAAACAGATGGACGAGAAACAGCAGACAGAGCTGTAGAGGATGGTTTAAGCCAAATGGATTTGACTGGAAAGGTAAAACAATTTTATTACAAAGAGCTACAACTCGGCATGCTCTTTAAGACATGAATCAAGTTTAGTTGACGACGTCTTTAATATTTGTCCTGAATATGATTGAATTATTTGCTAATGGGCGTTTTACGCAAAAAATCAAGTTAGCGTTTTGCTTTGAAGGGTACCATTCCAGTTTGTTGAACTCTACACAATACACTCAATGTTCAATTAAGCTGTATACCAATTGGTTTTTAGTCTACGACCCAATAAAAGTTAGCAGACATATGACCGCTTATTCAACTTGCTGCAGATTGCTCGTCATCAACGTCAACACCAACTAGCACCCAATATATTCTTTGTGACTTTGAGGCAGCTACCCGTAATTCCGCCTAAATAGCATTCGCCAACATAACATTAAAATGCTGCTTTTTCCACTACACCCAATAAATGTTTCTCAGATACTATATGAAAACAATAGGCTAACTATATTTGTTTCATGGTATGATTGTAAAGTGTACATGTCTGTCTGGCAGGGTTCATCTGACCTTGACCATATTTACCTGAATGATTGATGGTGTTGAATTTATGTGATATTTATAGTAAATCCTTCATAATACAGACTTTCAACATAAAACAATTACAATTAAGTCATTAACGTAGCCTCGTTAGAGCACTATACAGGGGAAAAAATATATTGCGCGCTCAATATAATTATATATATATTTGTGCATAAAGTTTATAATTTTTTATTTCAATCATTTTGGTAAGGTTTTGTTTTCTACTATAATTTAGATATAAGACTTTTTGTAGAACTATTTAAAATCAATTCACACAAAGATCTCTAATACAGAGCATACAAACCGTCTATTAATGGTAAATTATCAATAGGTCCAGGGTGTGCTTTTTTCTGACCAAAATTGAGTACATCCCAAGATTCGTATTCAACGTACACCTTCCATGATTTGAACCATGAAGTAGCCAAAAGATACCTGTTATAAATAATAAAGTTTTTAAGAGAAATGTACATGTGAAAAACAATCAAAGTGGTAGAGTGTCATACGTATGCTTAGACGAGAGCAGTCATTACCTTCACATTAAGTCAGGTCAAAATGTATGCAAGTCTAATAGCAAAACAAAGGATATAGGGTATCCATCCATGACACAAAATCAGTATGTACAGCAAAAAAAAAAAACCACAATAAGTAGTTTAGTTCTACACCGAACCTTATTTTCAATTTCTAGATTAACAAGCATTCTGAGAGTATTGCATGGCAATACATAGTCCCCTACCGGGTAAAAATTCATTATACTGGAACAAAATGCTAACTTGTTCTATAAATTGTCATGGTGTAAACAAAAAGAAAATATCAAGTCAATATCTTCAAGCATGACTAAAAACAGTGTGGAAAACTGAATATATGAGTGAATTTTTTCAAGTCCAAGGACCATAACTCTGCACAAAATTATCAGACCGAAACAAAAATTTGAACTTGATCTGTAACTTGTCATGATAAAACTACTTACCAATTGTCAATCAATATTTTCAAGCATGATGAAAAAAAGTGTGGAAAACCTATAACACTCTAACATTAGATATGATGTAATACAATGTATATCTATTTTCAAATTACAATCAAATATAATTAATAGTTCCAAATATTTTTTCTTTCATTTGTGACAAACTAATATAGATTTGTAACTTACCTATAAAATGTCAACAACTTTTATCTACACAATGTAATGTAATGAAATATATACCTTAATAAAAATAGATTATTATCTAATTAAAGGATTTCACTTAATAAATATATATATATATATATATACATGTAGCATTCAGAAAATTAGTTTATACAAAATAACATATAAACCTGCCACAAAATTCCTCAAACAATTTACCAAAGAATGTCTTTTAAAAAATGAGTTATCTCCCTTTGTACAGATTATATGGTTTAACATAGTACTCTAACATTAGTTATGGAGTTTAATCATGGACCATAACTCTGGACTAAATCATCAGACCGGAACAAAATTCGAACTTGATCTATAACTTGTCATGATAAAACTATATACCAAATATCAAATCAATATCTTCAAGAACGAAGAAAAAAAGTGTGGAAAGCTGAGTTGCCGGACTGACGGATGGACAGACGAACGGACGGACAGACAGACGGACAGAGTGCAAACCTAAAGTCCCCTTCGACTTCGTCGGTAGGGGACTAAAAAGTCGAATTATTGAACGATTATAATGTCTTTTTATGAGTCAATTTTTCATATTTAGAATCATCAGTGTTAAGACGTGAAAAGAGGTAAATAGAAACTTTATGTAGCTTATATCGCCTATCTACGTGACCTACAGTTGTTAATTTCTGTGTCATTTGGTCTCTTGTGGAGAATTGTCTCATTGGCAATCATACCACATCTTCTTATTTTTATATCTACATTAAATGAACATGTTTTTGCGTTAGTTAAAGAAAGACACCTTTCGACAAAAAAATGGACAAGTTTAGGCGTCACTCGACATTTAGACATATTTGGCGTCTTTTGATATCAAACGGATATGATTTTTGGCGAGGTGGACATGTTTGAGAGTATAAACACCTTTGCGAGTGTTATATTTGTATATACTTTAATCTAAATCAGATACATATACAGCAAAATGCCGGTTTTTTTTTCTAAAATCATGGAAATATAAAAAATATAAATTATATCCAAAGAATTGGTACAGAAATCCAGAACATACTTATGTAAAGAAGATATTCCAAATGTTTTTTTTCAAAAATCTGCTTGTGTTTCTCTTTTGAAACAAAAAAGTTGGGTATGTCTGTCAAAAGGATAAAAATTCCCAGGAAACCGAAATTTTGAAGAATTGTTTAAAATTTCGACCCATTTATCTCTAAAAGTAGCACATGAAGTTATACTTTTTATTACAATATTATATTTGAATTGTCTAGGTAAAATATAGCTTCAAGCCGATGCTAGGGGCCGTCTTTTTAAGTCGAGAGTTTTTTGGCTCCGTGTTGAAGGCCTCACTGTGACTTTTGAGATGAAAAACAGTAATAAAAGCGCTGTTTGCTTTTTGTATGTTTTTTGCTGTGCATGCACTGATTTTGAGTCATGAATGGATACCACATATCCTTTATTTTTCTATTGTATGCAAATTTTCAGCAAAAATTCACCGTGGGAACAAAACTGTATCATATGCCTTAAACAAACACTCAGCGCAATACAAGAACGAGACAAATCAAGTGTCAGACAAATTGGGAAAGTCGTTTTAGAGCAAGGAAAACTAAAAGTAAATATTTGTTTGGATGATGAAAATTTCAACAAAAGCTTAGTATACTTGTTCCTCCCCTATTTTCTAAGCCTCATTAAAAAAAGTTGACATTTTTCTGACATTCCGAAAATAGTACATTTAAATGAAAGACTTCGTCATCAAAGGGCAAAAACTCCAATAACCAGTCGGCTTACGATTTCGTCCATGTTGACTTATTTGTAGATCTTGTCTTACTGATCATTGTTTCTATTAAAAGTGTTTATGAAGATAATAGGCAAAAACAAAATTTGGTAAAAATCGTCATTAAAGAGCAAAAACTCTTTATAACGAGTCGACTGAAGAATTGAAAATAGTAAAAATCGTCATTAAAGGGCAATAACTTTAATAAGGAAATGGATGACGATTTCGGCCATGTTTGACTTATTTGTAGATCTTGTGTTGCTACTCATTTCTCTGATATAAATGTTCTCTCTATCTTTTATAGTATTCAAGACAATTATAGACAAAAACGGATAAAAATGGTAAAATTCGTCATTTAAAGATAATAACCCTGATAACGAGTCGCCTGAGGAATTCAGTCATAAAACTTATTTGTAGATCTTGTCTTGCTGATCATTTTTGCCATCTAAAGTTTTTTATCTATCTATTGTAGTTTTGAAGATAATAGGCAAACATTAAAAAAAAAACATTCAAAAAAATGATAAAAATCGTCATGATGGGACAATAACTTTAATAAGGAATCGACGGACGATTTCAAACGTTTGACTTATGTGTAGATATTGTCTGATCATATTTTCTATTTAAATTTTTTATTATAGTTTATAAGATAATAGGCAAAAACGAAATAAAAAATGGTAAAATTCGTCATTTATGGGCAAAACTCCTATAAAAAGTCGTCTGACAGTTTTGACGTAAATGGACAATAGGCAGAGCTCAACATTCTGAACATTTATGCCCTGTCAGATGTTCTCCTTTCATAGCGGTTTTCAAAAATAATAGACACGATTGCATTTTACACCGTTGTTCTATTTTTAGTCATGCCGGCCATCTTGGTTGACAAGCGGGGTCATCGAACAAATTTATTAAACTAGATACCCCAATGATGATTATTGCCAAGTTTGGTTAAATTTGGCCCCGTAGTTTCAGAGGAGAAGATTTTTGTAAAAGTTAACAGACAACGACGACATCGACGGACGACGGACGCAAAGTGATGAGAAAAGCTCACTTGGCCCTCTGGGTCAGGTGAGCTAAAAATAAGAAGATGTGACATGATTGCCAATGAGACGAACCTCCCCGAGAAACCACATGACGTAGAAGTTAACAACGATATATTACCGCAAACTATCGCTTAGGTCAGGAAGGTAGTATATAACTACTCAGGAATGTTATGTTGGTCCTAGGAAACAGAAATAAGGGTGTTATTCAAAGTTTCTAGTTTCTGAGTTGTTTGTCAGGGTCAATTAAAAAATGTCTAGATATAATGTCTACGATTATTTGTGACATACTTCTGATTGACGGATACGTGATGACAATTGTAAAACTTGTCTACTGGTTTAGACTGAGTATAACCTTGACTTAACGATTACAATACCAGTAACCAGCAATAGTGTTTGTTCATGGAAGGCACTGTAGTAAACACTCGCTCTTTAGATGCGAGCCAACTGCTATACTTAACATCATACACAGGTGATATATGAAAGTTGCTTCTTAGAAAAGGGAAATTCACTAAACGTCTTCGGGGGAGGAGGTGTTAAGAGCTTCAAAAATATAGTCTAACCCTGCCACATTTTCGTGTGGTTCTCCATAGTTTGGAACCTCGTCAGTGATTGTCGTGTGCCGTATCTAAATTGTGTTCGTTATTTGGGAAATTGGTATAAATAACAGGTCATTGATTGTTTCTGTTCAACTTGTTTACTTTTTTTTTTATACTCGAACGATTTAGAGCCTGTCATAATATGATGACTGTACATATGTGGCCCTCTAGATGTCTTTTTGTTATTTTCGTCGTTGGGTTGCTGTCCAATGTACTTATACCGTAAATTTCCTAGGATGAAAAATGTTGTCCTGCCTATTTATTTTTCCCTCTATTCGGTCCTGCATTTTTATTTTTCACTCTATTCAGTCCTGCCTTCTTTTTTTAGATTATCCTGACTTTTTTTTTACATAAATTGTCATCCTGCTTTCTCATCCTGCATTTTTTTTTTACTCAAAACTCCTGTCCTGCAAATTTCATCATAGCCCCCCTCCCCCATAAAAATCAAATGGTAGCTCCCTTACCGAGACAACTTTGATGTTTATTGTCCACTTTATTCGTGAAAGTTGGAAAATATACACACATATATAAAGTAAATCCATTTCCGCCATCCATTACCGTTTCCTTGGTTCCATAGAAAATTCTAGAAAAGTTGTTTTGTGATTTGATCAAACTTATTATCCCACTGATGTGAGTAGACAGTCGTTACAACATATTATAGAATTGCATTATAGTAAATAAAACATCATCTTACCACTTATCACCCTTCTTCAGAGGGGTTTTTAAAAGATCTCGTATTTCAGTCTTATGTGATGCCAAATCCCATCCACCAGTTGCCATTTTACTTCCGTGTTATTGTTTTCATGCTTCATGCAAATATATATGGCCAGCCATTTTACTACTTATTCAACAATCACAATCATTTAAAGACTAGTATTATAATAGACATGATAAATAAATGTTCACAATTAGTGGACAGTTGTCGAGATCGAGTTTTCTGTTGAGTTATTTAAATAAGGGATCATCTTAACAGCTTTTTTATCATTGCTTCCAATAAACACCAAAGCATTGTTAGTAAAGTCTTTCCACTTTTCTAGTGTAGGGCATGGATCCGTTAAATTACAGGTTTTCGGGTCAATGCAAATGTTTATTTGTATCTGAATCATGGTATTTTAGAGAACATGCAAGGATTTAACACCCTATTCCAAAAATATCCTTGCATTTTCTTTTATAAATTTCAAAGGGAACATGCAAATTTTTACATCCTCCTAAAATATCATTGAATATTCATCTATAAATTTCCCTTTTCTAGGGATTCTAAGAACTTATTTTATAACTTTATTTATTTGTTGTGTTTGTAATCTTTTTCATTGTACATGTTGTAATCAAAATCGAAATTGGATCTTAACTTTGTTTAGGACGATCCCCTCGCGTTTTCTTTTTCGCTTGTTCTGTTAGAAACGTCATCTTATAGCCGACTATACGTTATATGGGTTGTTCTCATTGTGGAAGGCCGTACGGTTGCCTATAATTGCTTACATCCACTTCATGTTAACTTTGGTGGATAGTTGTCTCATAATTGGCAATCATACCACATCTCCTTATTTTTATATCTTGTATTTAATTGAGGAAGTGGTCGCCGTTCTGTTTCTCTTTTGAAAGAGGGGATCATCTCAGGGGGTGGGGGGCACTACCTATATACAAGGTGATAGGACGTGCCACTGGAATAGGTCACATTTTCCAGCTTGAAAATATGTGAGTAGGTGGGAACTATCAGAAATATATGACAAGGCCATTAAAGTTTCCATAACTTGTTATATGAAAAGCCCTGTAACTTTCTGGGTGTTCCCAGTTGTGTTTTTATCCACAAATTTTCCCTCTTTTGACACTTTGGTATTCCACTTTTCCAACACACCACACACGAAACCCAATCAATATTAATTATTGGAAAAGGTTACATTTTTACCTACGCAATATATGAAAAGGTTACATTTTTACCTACGCAATATATGAAAAGGTTACATTTTTACCTACGCAATATATGAAAAGGTATACATTTTTAAAATATAAATTATATGAAAAGGCTGGGGTAACAGAACCCCAGCGGCACCCCTATCAATTACGTATTGAAGTGCCCGAACTTGGTTTACAAACTTCTCAGTTAGACTTTCTTTATTTGCTGGTATTCTCTTTCCGATGCTTATTCGTCAACAGCCAAATAACAAATGAACGAACTCGCACAATGTATTGGTGTCTTTATATACCAATAGCGCGGACCTCAAGGAGAGCACCCTAGCAACAACGAGTTTCATAGCAACCAAGGATAAAATGATGATTTTCCATGTAGTTTTCGTTAACGAATTGTTCAAACGGGTAATTTATTATATATTACAATTCAACAATAAACTACATATATATAGTATACGTAAAGGCATTTTTATAACATTACCCACGCCTCCGATTTCATGTGTCCTCGCATGACTAACATACTTTTTTTTTATATAAATGTTTAGTCCTTAGCTTCTCCAAAATTTGAATAATAAGATTGCCACTGTAAACGAACATTAAAAAAAAAAAAAAATAGGTTCTGAAATAATTTTGCCTCGACAAGAAGCACTTATGGCTTACATGAGGGTTCTTTTACATGCACAGGGCGTGACGTTTCCCTGCACATGGGACCTCGGATTTAACGTCCCCATCCGACGGACTTTACATAGATATATTTTTTTTCTCTGCTGAGTGTATTTCAACACAACTCAACAGTTACAATAACAATAACATGTATAGTCACTATACAAATCCTTGCTATCTACAATAACCGATCAAAACTCAACCAAAGATAGAAAATTCTTCCTGAACGGTGTGTTTAAACTCTTTATTAATTCGAATATATCTACTAACAGTCTCGAGAAATTCCAAAAAATCAAGTGATTTTTCTTTTCTTGGAGCCACAAGTTTCACTGGTCCTTTTGGCCTTCTTGTGTTCCTTGTTTTCAGACCCATTCTAATAACAGTCTTAACATCTGTGTCAGGCTCTCTAACACCTTTTTCTTGTATGAGACTGTTTTCTCCGTTTTTGGCCAGGTTCTTCAGCTCTACAAGATCTGACATCTCTTCTCCACTGTCGTGTGATTTATCATCTTTTTCCTTAGAAGGGTAATCTTGCTCATTTGGTAGCTCATCGTTTTCAGCACCATTACCCTGATGACACCTTGCCATATGACGAATATGATATGCTGTCTTTTTAAACTGTCTGTTACACTGGTAGCAAGTCAATCTGTTCTTCCTTTGATTCGTAACCAATATTCTATCAACTTCCTTGACTGGAAGAACGGGTTCTCTGGTGGTTCTAGACACCAGTACTTCACTCCGAGGAGGCAGTTGTACAGTTGATGCTACAGATACCCCGTAGCAGCCTATCTGACCTTCAAAATGTAAACGGGTCTCTCTTCCGTTTACCCAAATATTACCTTTAGTGATATCGATCACACAACTGTGGCTCCTTTGGAAATCTATTCCCAATATACCATCTATGTTTAGGTCTGCTACTACAGCAATGTTTGAACAAACATATCCATTTAAGTCAATGTCAATAATAGTTTTCCCAAACAGAATTAAGGGAGGAGAACCATTTGCAGTCAATATCTCTCTGTCCATTGGTGACAGAACATGAGAATACATACTGTCAAATAATTTTTTTGAAATTAGAGATACTGTCGCCCCTGTGTCTATAAGCATCTTTGCTTTAGAACCATTTACTTTAGCTTCTATAAACATACCAGCCTCATTTGCTAATTTGTTTACTCCTATCACACTGTTCTGTTTTTCGTGTGACACTTCAGGCCCGTTTGGGGTGTTTGAATGTGCTCTCTTTACACTACTTTCGGGACAATCTTTCTTGCAATGTCCAAATTTCCCACAATATAAACATCCACGTTTCTTGCGATTCTGGAATTGGGAATTCCCTTTAAAAGGAAACCACCCTCTTCCCTGAGTTTGTTGCAAGGCTTTTACTTCTTGTTGCAGATCAGTCAAAGCTGTCTGCATGTTTTTAAGTACTATAGTAGTAGCTCTACTGTTTTGTCGCTAGTGTCACTGATGTCCGCATCTGTATTTGTAGCTCTTAAATAACCTTTCCCTTCCTCTCGCTTTATTTCAGCCTTATTAAAAGCTTCTAGTTCAACGGCGTGCCGAACCGCGTCATTCAGGTCAGCAGGTCTAGCTTGTTTAATTCTAAGTCTCATGTCCACACTCATCAGTCCGTCGATAAATTGCTCTTTAGCGAGAGTTTCTCTTACGTCATTCGGGGCAGTCGGATATGAAAGGTTCGCCAAGCGTCTTATGTCCTGACCTAATTCAGGAAGACTTTCCGAAGCTTTTTGATGACGCTCCCGTAGTTGTGTTCGGTACAATCCAGTTTGATTGGCAGGCGAAAATCTCTCTTCGAGAGACCTCACAAGTTCCTTAAAAGTTTGTCTTTTATCTGTAGGTAAATTTCCTAGTACCCCCTGAGCTTGTCCTCTCAATGAGACTGCCAAATACAAACCCTTTTCTGCATCTGTCCAACCATTAGTACTTGAACAGGCATCGAAGTGAGACTTGTAATCTATCCATGAGCCTTGTCCGTCAAACGTAGCGGGCTTTATGATATTTTTGTTTTTGTTGTCTCCCCTATATGTACCTAATTTGTCTTGTGGTTTTGGCAAATTTTTCTTTCGCCTTTCTGTTACAAAGTTTGTCTCAAGAACAGAGTCTGAATAAGTTCTCATCTCTTGTGTTAATTTTACTGAAGCTGGGATATGTTTATCGGGTATTGCAGGCTTTGGCATAACTTTTGACTTAGCCCCTATCCCAATGTTTGTACTTTAGAATATGTTACTGCCTGTACCAAAGTCAGGGTTCGGAATTCTGGCAGTAGCAATTCCAGAGTCAGATTGTCTTGGATGTGTTGTTTGACTGATAGGAGTTGACTGAGCAAAGTCTGGGGCATTTTCAAAACTTTTAATTCGTATGCGCCCTATTTCCCTGTTCAATCTATCTATCTCCCTTGTCAATTATCTTGTTTCATAACTATCAGGGTCATACAACATATCATCTTCTCTGTATGTTCGCGACATATTTTGAAGAATAAATTAAACAAGTTTTTCAAAAATATTTTATTACACAACTTGACAATCAATGTATTTACAAAACAATGTATTGCTTCTTGCAAGGACATATAGAAAATGAACTCATAATCAAACTATGTAATTACATACAATACTGAAGTATCTCATATCCCACCGCTGCTAACCAATTTTGTAACGTGTTTGGCTTATAAACTATCTGTTCGTATCCGTTTTCACAGAATCTGAGATACTCCAATATCAATCTTTTACTTAACTCAAAATCTAACTACAACTTGGAGGCTTCACTAAAAACTACGAGACCAACCTTTTAACTTTGAAACTTAATAAAGAAACAACAATATTTACACAATTAACTTTGTATCAAAAAGTAGTCTAAAAACTATAACCTCAATTTATCCTTAATCCTTTCACTGACTCCGAGGTCCCGACCGATTTGCTCAACAATTATAACCTTTCAAAAACAATAGGAGGACAAGCTTCAAAACCATAGGTTCCTGAGACACCTAGTTCTGAGACACCTAGTTTCTGAGACACCTAGTTCCTGAGACAACTAGTTTTGAAACACCTAGTCTCCGAAGCACCGAAGTCACCAGACTATTACAAACTACCTGTTCGAGGGACTGCGACCATTCCCGTGGGAATTTACAGTTTCAGAACAACCCGGTAGCTTGCAACAATCGTAAAGACTTCTAAACCGCTTGCTTCAAACCA